AGAAAAGCTCTCAATACACTAAGACAGAATGACTCAATTATCATAAAGGCTTCAGACAAAGGGGGCAACATAGTCGTTATGAATAAAACCGCTTATATTGAAATGGTCAGCAGAATCCTAGACGACAAAGACACATATATGATTCTGAGCTCAGACCCCACAGCTAAATATCTAAATGAATTAAAAGGAATACTAGAGGAAGCACTTCAGTCCAATCTCATTTCTAAGGATGAATTTAAATTTATGTTCAATAAAAAACCAGTGATAGCTACTTTTTATGCTTTACCAAAAATTCATAAACAGCACAAAACATTGTCAGGGAGACCTATCGTTTCAGGCAATAATAATCTGACGCAGAATTGTAGTGTGTATATTGAACACATCCTTCGTGATCTAGTTAAGTCTCTTCCTTCTCATTTGAGAGACACTAAGCAGACCCTCAGCATCCTCAAAGATATGAAAATTCCGGCCAAAGCAAGCCTTTGTAGCCTAGATGTTGAGGGTCTGTATAGTTCTATTCCCCATGATGTTGGTATCAGACACGTTAGAACGTTTCTGTATATGAGAGACCCTACCCGCAATGAACACAATGAGTTTGTCCTCAGACTGTTGCGGTTTATATTGACTCATAATTACTTCCTCTTTAAAGGCAACTACTATCACCAGGTGAAGGGCACAGCGATGGGTACGACTTGTGCACCATCCTATGCCAACCTTCACCTGGGGTGGTGGGAAAGTAACATTGTCTTCAACCCTAGTCTCGATAAATTTAGCGTACACATAAACCTATGGAAACGCTATATCGATGACATTTTGATAGTGTGGACAGGTCCGATTGATCTATTCCATGAATTCGTGGAAGTACTCAATGTGAATGAGATTAACCTTAAATTCACTTTCGATATAGGTGATAAAAGACTGAATTTTTTGGACCTAACTCTCGAAATTTCTCATAACAACGATTTCACCACCACGCTTTTCAAAAAACCAACTGCAACCAATAACTTTCTGAACTGGGAGAGTCATCACCCCCCTGCTTTAAAAAGTGGGATACCGACAGGCCAATATCTCAGACTAAGGAGGAATTGTTCCTCCCAAGAAGATTTTAAAATAAAAGCACAGACCCTGAGATCCCTTTTTAAAGCCAAGGGATATCCAAACAAGTGTCTAAAAAGAGCTTATCACAGGGCACTAGCTACTGAAAGGACCAACCTTCTGTCCGAAAAGTCCCCCCCCCCCCAAAACAAAAATCAGGAAATAATAAGATGTATTGGAACCTTTGATTCGGGTTGGGACGGTATGAAAAAAATACTAGAGAGATTCTGGCCACTACTGTACCAAGATACACATCTTAAAGATGTGCTGACACCCCACGTATCGATTACAGCAAGGAGAGGTCAGAACCTAAAAGATATTTTGGTTCCAAGCCATTTATCTCTCCCAAAACCTACTAACACCTGGCTTAAATCGCCTGCTGCCGGCACCTTTCAGTGCGGCAAGTGTAAGGCCTGTAAATTTATCCGGAAACAATCGAAATCATTCTCTAACTCGGATAATACTGAGATACACACAACTAAAACCTTCTTTAACTGCAAAACCGAGGGCCTAATATACCTCATTACTTGCAGTTGCAATTTGAAATACGTGGGGAAGACTTTCAGACAGTTTAAAACCCGCATCCTTGAACACATAAACTCTGTGAATCCATCTAGACAGATAGATACATCTATATCAAGACATTTGAAAATTAAACATGCCGGCTCTGCACAGGGCTTACGCTTTAATGGAGTAGAAAAAATAAAGTTGGGACCAAGGAAGGGAGATCTGGACAAAAGACTCTTACAGCGAGAGAGCTTCTGGATATTTAAATTAAAAACTTTATCCCCCTTGGGCCTTAACGAAGGATTCTCATACACTCCCTTTATCCCTGATTAAATACCGGTTCTTCCCTAGCAACACTTCATTAATTTACTATTTAATAATTGGAAATTAATCCATCAAAAGAGTAAATACTACTTAGATACATTCAATATGGAAATTTACCCCTGGTATGTCTGTGACTGACCCCTAGTGGCTCAAAGAAGGTATACAGCCCTCATTATTATAGCCTGTCTAGTGGGTATCTTCTGGATACACTTTAATTATACTATATAACTCACTCATTTGAGTAAATTATGTCCAGTAAGATTTACACATGACCGATCACTCTGATCCCATGATGACACATGATCCATTAAAAGTTATATAAATTACTTAAAATTTAATATATCGTATGCTACTTTTCCCCCCATCTCCTATTTATAATACTATACACGCTATTTGGATATATGGACTAGCACAACGTACCAGCCATCTAAATTGACAAATTGAATTGATACTGCCAATGGGAATGGCTGGACAAATTTCGATTACCGAAATACTAATCTCCATTTAGTAAGAATAAGAACTGATGAATTTATCTGTATTATAAAAAGCCTCAATATCTGATTATGTATATCAGAGGCATTTATTACCTAGTATTTATGTAGACACACTGGTACATGAATATCTGGCAATTTATTTACGATCATCAAGCCATTGATAATACCCGCACATGGGAATTTTGGGTATAAGCTCAGCTATTACTATTTTCACACGACTGCTAAGAACAGTATAGCGGGGGTTAATTCCGCCCGTAAATCGAGAATGAGGCTTGATAATGAAATGATCATTACCCTAATAGGAAGTACAGTTAACCTGACCGCCCATATTTATATAATCCTTATGATATCCTGGGATAGGTATTAGGTCCCCATGGCTGAGCGAGGGTTAAAATCCCTTATTTTCACTTTTTTGAGGTTTTTCGCTCAAAGCCTCTCTACCCATTCTCATGATCCCACAGGCGTCCAGATAACCCATGATGAACCGTCTACTTCTCAAACAATGCCTTGTGATAGCAATACACTGACTTTACATGATATAAATTTCTTGATGAATCATTCGTCTCTGACTATAAAATTTACACAGATATATTCACCTTCGTCCTTTCCCTATTCTATGAAGCAAGTCACTCCATCCAATGAGTACATACAGGGTTAAATATAAACCACACAATGTAGAGGTGGACTTAACCCTGTTTGGAGTTTTCTTTTCCTTTTTTTTTTTTTTTTTTTCTTTATTTAAACAGCTAATTAGCATATTCTGACGTCATTTTGGCGCCAACTGACGGTCCACACAGGAACCCTGATTGGTGGAATCCTCTCAACAGTTACAATACCAGGGGTATTTAAACAAGGTCTAGGGTCCATAACGAATTCAGCCCCTGACGAAGGTGCATCACAGCACCGAAACGCGCGTCGGGTTGAAGGAGGTTTTTCTCCTTCACTTTCACTCACTTTTTATTTTCACTTCTAGGGCACTATTTCACGATGTGTAGGTAACCAGCATTCTAAGCATGGTTCTACACATTAGCACTATTATTTCCTAATTTTTCACCTTTTCCTCCTGTCACTCCTGATATGCTATCTAGATTGGAATTATCTATTTGATTGAGGAATCTGGACTGGCTCTGTATGTATTTGAGGGGGCAACAGATACTCTTTGTACCCCATAGCGATTTAGGAAACCACTAACTTAAGATTTATCATTTATGACATATTTTGTGATTAATCTACGAATTTTCATGTAGACTTTTTTCCTTTTATTATATGTTACTTGGTATCCAGCTAAATGCTGTTATCCTAAATTGCTGATTGCTTAACTACACTCTTATTGTAGCTTTTCTGATACAGCGGGCTTTGCTACAAGTGTTACTTTATATACAGCCAATATTCAAAGTTCCTCCTTGACTGATTGTCTTTTCCATCTAGATTACAGGAGTTAATTTAAAGGCTCATTCCACAACCGCTTTTACTGTTGACATGGACATACTATGGTTGATTATATTAAAGTCCTGAGTCTCAAATAGATTCTTTACGTCTAAGAGTCCTTTAGACAGGAGAAGAGCCATTTAGGCTATTTTAATCACTTGAATCTACGTATGAACCCTCTCTATATTCCGACATATTGATGGCAATTTTGATTTAATTATCTATTATCTACTAATATTTTGTCCAGCTGACAGTCCTGGTTCTGGTTTTAGTGACCAGTAACAGGAAAGTCATTTTCTAGTACTTCCATTTTGGGGTTATGCCCCTTGACACCACTGGAGTGTCATTTAAAGGTGTGACTGACCACTAGGAGGGTGGTATATTCAAGTCTGGAATAACCACTACCTTTGGCCTAGTCAATTTCTACTACTTTATTTGAGGGAGCTAGAATGCTTTTCCCCATGTTTATTATCTATCCATGATTTTTTAGACCTAGAATTACCTCTTGTGTGTGCTGTCTTGCCATGGTCTCCTTGTGATGGAAGGACACATGGACATAATCTGCCCCCCAAGAATGAAGCCATAGGGTTCGTCTGACTGCCATAGAAGGAGTCACCCATCTTGCCACCATTTTTGTAAGGTCTGGAGATGCTTCAGAGCAGAAATCTGCAGCTAGATGGAACGCTTTCAAAGACTCCACCTGGTTTTCTCTTTTAACACCACTTACAATATCCTCTTCAAAGTGATATATCCAGACTTCTTTCAAGGCTCTGGTAACTATAACATTAGCTACTGCCGGATGGAGATCTGATCCTAAAGCTAGATAGGCTTTAACATGGCTCAAATCGCGTCTCTTCTCAAAAAAAGCTACGTTTGGACCCTACCGGGTCTTTATCAAGCTTGATAAAGACCCGGTAGGGTCGAAACATTGCTGTTTTTGCCCTAATAAATCTGCTATTTTTGTTAACCTGGAGTGCCTGAATCATTATTTATTCTGCACATCTTGGAAGGGAGGCCTGGCCAGCCCTGGCTTGAGAGCACCTGGGTTACTTGGTGAGTGCGGTATCCAGTACGTCTCTACTATTCTGTCTATTGGCAACAAGTCTTCTTGGCTAATCTGATGACTGCTGCATCAATTTTTTAAATTGTATTTCAATTCCTACTTTCTTTAGAATCGAAGAGACATACTCTAGGCAATTTTCCCTTAAGAGATAACCTCTTTTCTGGTATTGACCACTCATTAAGGATGAGCTCCTTAATAGTAGTACGAAGGGAAAAATACGTTTTATTGCTTTTGGATGTCTGAATCTTTATTTCTGCTCTCTCTTTCAGGATCTTAAGGGTGTCTCTTACTGCAACAATCAATTTATCAATAGATCTGGAATCAATGGATTTCTTGAAATATTCCACCTCTTTGTCTTCCTCAAAAAAGCCATACAGTACCTCACGTTCCAAACTTGATTCAGAAGACACTTCAGCTGGCCTAAGCCTCCCACTCCTTTGGTTCCCTTTGAGGAGATTTCTTATGGGAACTTCTAACCACCATAAGAGTGAGTGAGTTGCAACAACTCTCAAAGCACCCATATAATGAAACAGAAGTAGGAGATGGCCTCCACAACAGCTCTCTTCAGTGAGATTTGCAACCAAGCAGTGGATATAGGCTTAGCCTTACCAGCTGCAGAATGAGTTAGATAACACTTGATTTTCATTATCCCATGCTGCAGTTTCTAAGATATTCAGAAACCTGATCTAGTAAGTCCTGCCCTGGCAGGCTGTTTACTAGACCCATCAGAGAAAGAGAGGCTGAACTTTCTCTGGAAAACCCATGTTAAACATGGGAAGGTGAGACCAAAGAACAAGTTTATAAAAACTAAATTAATAAAATGAAAGAGGAACTTTTATTACTGCCTGTGACCTAAGGACATTCCTGTCCTCACAAAAAAAATTTTTTAATGTCACTTTAAAATTTCATGCACGTTAGGAATTGTAGAATGCAAATCAGGTCACATGAGGCATAGCAACTGCCCTTAGAGTTACCCTAAAGGGGAAGAGTAACTACATCTATTTATTTAAATTTACAAACGGATTGTTAATTAGGCAGTACAAACTGTACGTATTGAATCTTTACCTACCTAAGGTGAATCTGTCAATTTGTAGATAACAGGTTTGAAAAAAAAAAAAAACACAGCAAGAAAGATCTGCCTCACTAGCCCAGTGTACGCACTTTGACAGGTGCATTGCGTGGTAACCTGCAGTCATTTTCTGACACTATCAGATTTGGATTTGGATTTGTTCAGGAATACTAGTTACAGAGTCTTTGGACCTGTTGGCTGGGTGTATGGTCCATGTAGCCTGAGATATTTAAAAAAAAAATAGGCATGAGAGCTGCTTTTGTAAAGACAGTAGCCATCACATTTGTAATAATTTTCTGCTTCTTCTCTCTATTCTTCTGTGTCTTTTTCCAGTTGATTGACATATACCTCGTTTGTATATATAGTCTTGGGTCAAAGGCTCGCTACATTAATATACGTCTATATTACTGAAAAGTACTAAAACACAATCTGACTTACGGTTTCTTCAGGTTTATTCTTAGAGTTACGGATACATAATAAAACAACAAAGGATGTTACATGTTCAAAGCCGGTGGTAATTACTGGACTTCTGAAGGGAGAGTCACATCGTTACATGTACAGGAAAAAGAGCCGAGAGAGAGAGAGAGAGAGACCTCATGTCCCTTTGCTCAATTACTATAAAGCTGTGCCCATACTGACATCAGAGTATAACTCTAGCCATGTAAGGACAAGACTCCCAATCCACATTCCAGAGTTCTCATACAAGATAACCTTGTGACTTATTGATACCATCAGTTATTTATGTCAATCAAGACATCCATAAATAATCAATAGAAACATAGAATATGCAATATTCTACAACATTATAGGCGGATGTGTGGATACTTTCTTGGAAGTATAGCTGCAGAGGAATAGGCAGAGAGAACGATATAGTGAACAAAAAAAGGTGAAAGCACACAAACAGTGGAATATTTTACCTTTAAAAACTTGTATAGGTCCTATTTTCAGCAACAGACAGTAACTGTGGACCCTATATATAATATATACAAGAAAACAACATAGTGTATACTGTTGAAACCTATTTACAATTTGAGCAGAATAAAAGAGGTTCACTCACATTTTCCAGAGCCACATAGGTTAGGCTCTGGACTGTAAAGGTATTTCATCCATCAAGGGATACACTGGGTCTGATCCTCCTCTTAGATGTTTGTAACAGGTTTTTCTTAGCGGGAACACAGGAACCAGGTAAGGTGAAGTATTAAAATAAACATTTATTTGGTATAAAATAATAAAAACAGAAATTGCTAACACAGCAGCTAGCACAACACGTTTCGACCCTCCAGGGTCTTTTTCAAGTGCAGTATATCCTCCCATTTGCTGACCCACCTATATATACCTCCAATTTACCATATTGGAGACAGGTGTAGCAGCAGGAAATGGTAATTGAATACCCACATTTGGTCATTCCGGGAAGCATCTAGCCACCACTAAGATGGTGGTGCTTCCGTTTTTGAAATACATAAATAAAGAGGGAACGATACCTGCCAGGAAGGTGAGAGCTGCAGCCTGGTCGGGTGGAAGAGCTCCGGAGAGACGCCACTCAAGCTTCAGCGATTGTGGCTGAAGTGCTCCTGAATCCCCTGTGGCAACTAGGTAGTGAACTGCGCAGAGGTACTCGGTCGGAGTAAAGGAGCTCCATCACACTGACAATTCATGTTTTAGGTTAGAGCTGGAATTATTCTCAATGTGCACTGTTTTGATTTTTTGTTTAATTCACTGAGATGTTTATGAATCATTACCGGTATCACTGATTTTCAATAAGTACATTTACAAACACACTTCGCACAGGTCATGTTTAAAGTGTTTTATTTCCTGCTACGTGTTGTCTTTTACTCTAAAAATTACATAACTTTGTTTGACATTGCTAACATTCTAGAAAATTCCAGTGCAATCACGCTACATGAAGCAGGTCTTACTATAACTGTAAACAACAAA